TTAAGAAACGTCAGGCGGTCCGTTCGGATTTCTCCGAAAGCCAGTCGGCATATTCCAACAAACCGAAGAATCGTTAAGAACCCTCCTTAAGAAAAAAAAAAAATCCGACCTGTGATTCTGACATGAAAGAGTGCGGCGTAACCTCTCGTGTCAAAATTCTGACGTCTCGTGTCAAAATTCTGGTCTCGTGTCAAAATTTCGTGCTCGTGTCAAAATTCCTGACACACGTGGGACCCATGTATATATATTAACGTAATGAAAGTCGACGTCAAAGATGAACAGGCTCGCCTGCGTTCATGCACAGGGCATCGCAAGCGGCATCTGCCGGTGCACGCCGCTTCTGCTACAGAACGCCCAACGATCGTATCCCATGTCGTTGCCGAGTTCGTGGGTCGGGGCGGGTCGACCGTAATGTACACAATTGGGAGGCCCGGGGCATATACCGCCGCCGAAGTAGCCGTGCAGTCATCACAGCCTTCTGAAAGGGTATCATCGTCCCTCTGCCCAGACGTCTCGCTGTTGAGATGTTTCCTTGATGCACATCGCCCTTGATGCAGCGAAGACGCCGCCCACGCGGTCGTAGCATGCCGATGTGCCAGCCTTCAAATACTGGATGGATGTTTCCCATACAGGTCGAACCTGTAGCTGTACCTTGAGCCGGCGGGGTGACCACCAACCTCCCAGAAGTCGATGCAGGAACCACCGTTGAACCGGCTGAACCTCTGAACGTGTGCTCTTCCGCTGGGACTTCGGTCTGCCCTTGTGTCATATGGTTTGGTGCGATGGTTCGGCAGACTACTTCTACTCGCCGAAACAGGAAGCCGACAAGATTCCGTCGTGCAAAACTTCGTGAGCTGTAGTATTTGATGCTTCACGTGCGGCAGCATTCACACGGCCACGGCAATCACGGCGAAATCAGCGGGTGAAAACGACAGTCAAGTGTCATACACCGGTAGACAGCGTATGTAGTAGGTAGGGAATGTTCTGGACTCTCTCCGCTGGCCGACGGGTGCTGCCGTGGTTGCAACGCCGCGCCCATTGATCACAGTGCTTTGATGAACTGGATTACATCCAACCTTGCCCGCATTTGTCGCGAACGGTACGATTGGTTGTTCCGGGCAAAGTAAAGCGATCGGCGCGGGCACCTTCTAGTTGTGAATTCGCCGGGACAGTGTTCGAACACTATTTACTGAGACATCTCGCCATAGTATCAATATGCTTTTCATGGGCTTGATGCCCATTCGTGGAGGTCGCCAGGTTCGCTCCTCTTCTCCAGAAGACTCAATAGTGTACCATTTTTCCATCTTGTCGATGAAACTCTTGAGACCACAAGCGTTGATTATGTCAACGAAGCAGTGGTTGTGGTAGGCCTCCTGCCGAAACACACGACCAGTGCATACATTGGGTAGACAGTGCTGCTGGAGTTTGTGCAGTTGCGTGTGAAGGGTGGGTTATAAAGAGACAATCAACGCAATAAACATGTTGTAGCCCCAATGCTTCGACCGCGACTGTCGGCGAATTTACCCCAAACGACCACGCGAATATTTCCAACTTCACGCATGCTTTTCGCTTGACCCGGGAGCAACTTCTTGGGTTAACATCCGTTTATTTTGTTGCTCGGCAACAACCCCAAAAGCCCTGAAGAACGTCGGGAGTGCACACCCGGATTCGCCCCACCTCGGCTTTCGACGTGCTCGACCACAGAACAACGCACGAGGTACGACTGAATGCTTTCACGTTCTGCTCTTCATTCCCTTCTTGCGCTTCTTTTACACCCTTCGTACGTGCTCCTGTTGATCCCCGTGATGCGGTGGCTGCTGTAGGTGTTCGGGCTGCCTCTGCTTCCGTTTCTTGATTTTCTTCGTGAGCTTCCCCTCGGTTTCTCGCGGTGTTGCGCCCGCCCGCTGCTCGTGTTGTCGCTGCTCTTCCTGTTGCTCTTCGCGGCGCCGCCTTGCCAGCTCGTTTTTCTTCTCGAGTAGCTGTTCCAACTGCTCTGCATGTAGTTGTTGCCGCGGTTGCCGCTGTTGCTGCTGTCGCTGCTGTTGCTGCTGCTTCTGCTGCTGCTGCCGTCGCATATCGTCCAATGTTTCCCCGAAAATGCGCCTCATGGCCGCATGTTTGCGCGCCTCGAACAACCCAACCGCGCCCGCACCAAAGCCACTACACCCACTGTCTCCATCAAGAGCACCGTGACGGTGCTCCGGGAGGTCGGCCGCCGGTGCCATGCTGTTCCGGTTCTCCATCCTTCCCAGAATCTCCAACTCTCGCGCGACGGAGGCGGGGGTGGCTCTCTTGTAGCCTTCATCAATTGACAGCCAAAGGCGGTAGAAACGGGAGGGAACGAGAGCCAGAAATGAGGGTGTGCGAGAATTGGCAGACTGTATCCCTCGCAGGAATATCGCCTGGTTCTGTATTTTGGCAGGAAATGCCATTCTTGGGGCAGGTTTGACGAAAAACATCCCATCCGACAAAGGCGTGGACTGCATCGGAGGAATAAAGCCATACATAGGAGCAATTCTATCAATAATTAGCCGTTTTCCTAGTTCTGCACCTCAGCCAAATCTTCTACGAGATGGAATAATAACGTAACGCAAGCGCAAAAACAGCTACACAGGCGATCGGTTCGGTGGGTAGGACACACCTATACTGTCAATAAAGGCAATACCCAAAGTCGAATGGGGGTTGGGGGGAGGGGGGTGTACTCATAGTCGTGCATGCCTTGTCGTTAGACCATTGACCTCGCATCCCTACAGAGCCGGGACCGTGACGGAGCACGGCGGGTTCTCACCGGACCAGGCTCTCAAATCACCAAGCGCGAAGAGCCGTGATATATTCTGCGAGTCGCATGAAGGCTGCGCTGCATCCTTGGTTCGGCATCTTGTGCTTACTTCCTTGCATACGAATGACAGCTGCGTATGACTAAATTTAGTTTATGGTGCTTCCACTTCCAGAGACAGTTGTAAGCACTGTGTAGCTGCCTCGAGGTGCTTGACAATTTTAACACGACGTGGTGCCACCATCCCCCTTGCGCGGAGTGAGGGTTCTCGACCCCGCACAACATGATCTACTCGACCACCATTATGGCTACCTCCAAAAAAAAACAGAGGTAAAAAAAAACGGTAACCTTGTGGCCGAGTTCACGAAGTGAATTGGTTTGTTTTACAACGTCGTTGCCAAGCGACGAAAACCCAACCCCGATGGTGAACACCGGGGGGGAGGGACTGGGGTTGGGTAAGGGTTCTGGGTAACGTGCGACATTGCAGCGTCTTCACTGCCCGTGTCTATCCTGGTTTTCTCACCTGTCGTACGGCCATCAACCATGGGCGAGACCAGCTCTTCCAACATTTCCTCCACCAGCACACCTGATAATACCGGCCGAGGAGCGGTGAGAGACGCATGAGATAGAAAGCGTACTCAGGATGGGTCATCATGGGGGGCAGGAGCGGGTTCAACTAGGGGACCGGTTTCCTGGCAACGACTACCTGTGGCTAGGGGAAAAACATTTCGCTTCAGCGAAAGAAATGGTTATGGTATAGGTAGCACGTGGGTGGACCGGACGATGCCTGCAAAAAAACATGCAAAATGAGCATCTCGGGCAAGGAGATCTCAAGCGGAGACGACTAGGACACGATCATCAGTATGACATGCGTCGAAATCAACCGTACGTCCCCACCCCGCCAGCAGCACCGAAAATCAACGCTCTGCGCAAACGCACCCACGGCAATGAGGGCGCTTTCGTCCAGCAGGCCGTACAGCGCAGGTGTCCCTTCGGCTTTAGCGCTCGCCACCTGAGCAAGTGCACAAGACGAGACAAGAGGATGACCCCTTGAAAACATACCACACAACGGCTGTGTCAAGTGACGGATTAGCGCCAAAACACCGGTCCACGACATTGACTACGCCGATGTGCCGTACGGTCTTACCTCTCCGTCTCAACAGAGCTTCGATCGGAGGTGGCACAGAAGGATTGTTCCCTCTATGGCGTTAGCCAATTTCAGAGCAGATTGACAAATTTCGAGCACTTCAATAATTATTCCCAAATTTGAACCCACGTTTTCACGCGTTGTCAAGATGCTAACGCTCGGTATCGGAGGCACTCACTGCGAAAGCGTTACGAAAGTCCGCACCATACGTCGCATACAGGCACCCAGAGGATGAAAGCATGGCATGAACAGCGGGGCGACTGGTGCTGATTGCCACAACCACCATGTCCGAGAGACACAACCTGCATCAACCACAAAACGATCCATGGCGAGCAAAAACGATTCAAAATAACAATATTCTGAACCAACGCGTGAGCCTTATCCCTCTACCCCCTCCCTGAGGAAACCTGGACCAGGAGCCGCATAATCCCCAAAACCTCGCCCCATTCAACACTCACAGCAATCGAAAATATTAACGCCATCAAGTCCTAACTGGCTTCGGAGTGCGTTCACCCCACCGTCGCGCGACGTGCGCCACACATAGGTCGCCCATTGCACAACCCACCTGGTGGATGAATCTCAAGACCTGCGGCGAAGGGGGCAGCCCTCCCTTCGGGTTTTCCATCGGAGCCGCACGCGCGAACGCCTTCGAAGGGCAAGGAAACCCTGGCCACTCCTCCAGCCTCGGGCGCGATAAGGACGCCAGCTTGGGTTTAACAGCGGCCACCGCCGCCCCCATCGTTGCCTCTGCTGACCCTGTAGCATTGCTGGCGGCGCCGCCTCCATTGCCATTTCCCGCGGACTCGTGCAGGTCGCCTAGGTCCAACTCATCGTCTAGCTCGGCCGCCGCCTCTGCCGCCAACAAATCGTCGTCACAGCGGCGGTCACCAATGCCACAGTCCACGGTACCAGCGGCAGCGGCACCGCCATCGTGGTGGGACCCTTGCTTTTGCCCTCCCGTCGACCTCGTTGTCGTGTCCGTCGAAGCACCTTGTAGGACACCTGCCGGCAAAGAACAGGAGGTCGGAGGGGAAAGCGACCCCGCGCCCGCGACCCCCGCTCCCGGCGACGCGGGACCGTGCGCTGGCAGAGCTGACGGTTCTACGGTGAACGGGTAGCGCAGAAGCCCGCGGTTCTGCATGGCAACAGCGTGCTCCATCCGGAACTGCGTCAAAAAGATGAGACAAGAGACATACCGTGGCACACGGAGGGGGCACCGTGAAAGAGTCAAGGGGCGACGCGGTAGAAAAGACAGCGCGCCGAAAGGGCCGAGTTACAACAGCAATGACATGCTAACAGGAGCGAGGCCCGAGGGTGGGGCATGGATCGTCGAGGGGCAGTGTGTTCTTCGCTCGTTTCCTCCTCGATCGCACAGCTAGGGCAGCATGGGCAGCTTGGCCAATAGCGTAGGCGTCTTCGGCCTGAACCACCCACAGAGGGCTGGCCGCCTTTGGCTGTGCGACGCGCAAGGACCAGGGTAAGGATCACCAGACGGTCGGGAAAGTAAATCATATCACAACATGGCCTCACGATCGGCCTGCTCTTAGCCTGCGTCCAACGGCAAGATTGAACAGTGCCTAGCGCCTGAAAAAGATACTGGGACAGACGACTTTGAGTCGAGGATATTCCCACACCGGTGTCAAGATGCTTGCCCGAAAGAAAGAAAGAAAGAAAGAAAGAAAGAAAGAAAAAATGATGAATAAATAACTTGGGGCGGTGGAGATTTTATATCCCGTCGGCCGCAGCGGAGCACCCCGTGGATGACAGAAATGTACAACACCCCGAGGGAAGAACGGGTACTTATCGAAAAAAAAAGTGAAGCCAAGGAGGCATAGCAGCCAACCACGTTCGGCCAAACGATACTTTATACTCTCTCCTGATGTGAGACCGCGAAACGGCAGTCTCGTCGAACCATGGCTCCGGCCACAACGACAATGACATAACCAGGGCCTTACGCAGCAAGGCACATGAGGGACTCCCAAAGAAAAAAAAAAAAAAAACGCCGCATTTTCAACCCCTCTCCCCGGCAACGTTCTCTCCTGGACGGGCTTTGTGGCGTCTACTTTTCCGGGCGGACCCTCGCAATACCTTCGTCATCCAGCCCAGACCCATCGATTAACGAGACATCCACATCGAGGTTCATCGTGCAAGCGAGTATCGAGCGGCCGGAGGGGACATTTCTATTTTGAGGATGGATATGCCAGTTTGCAAAGACTACCGTCTGGTCAAGAAGAAGAGCAAGCTACTGATTCTCCTCTTCACTCACACGGTGGGTCGTGCCCGTCTGCAGCCGGTGCTTCGCGACGGAGCCCCTCGTGGGGACCACGTCCCCGAAGAATCGGTCCTCGTTGTACTCCTGCATGCCCAGGTCCACTTTCAGAGGCCTCCCTGCAACGACGGCCACTCGGTGGTCCCAGAACTGTCTGCAGCGAGTCAATCCCCAACGACCGGAGGCGCCGCCGCGGGGCGGGCGGACGAAAAATGCCACCCAAATCCAGTGAAAACCGATCGCAAAGAATTGCTGGCAATTGCCATCGCCGTTGGTACCAATCGAGCTTGTTTCGAGCAATGCGGGGTGATAAACGAAGGGCCGACGACTCGACGTACACCAAACTACCGACAAAAGAAAAAGTGGTAGCAGGATAAGGGAACACACGGAACCCTAAACAGAACATGTGCTTCGGACAGAGACGACCACAGCTATAGATCTAAGCAGAGATAACCGCGGCAAAATTGTGGTCGACCGCCCCGAAGGGGAAAGCTGGAAGGTGAGCGTGGCGAGCAAAAGGTTCCAAAAAAAAGATACAGCCTTACAAAAATATCATCTCTTACCTCTCAACGTCCAGGGAGCCCGCGGTGCACTCACACATGGACGCCAGCGGGAGGTGGCACACGTAGCACGTCGGAGGCATTCTCCACTCCTTCGCGTCCGAGACGACGGCGACCCTTTCGCTGCCGCCGCTCCTCTCGTCGCCCTCCTCGGCCCACCTGCCGCCGCCTTCGCCGGCACCTTCCTCGTCCTCCTCTCGCTGCTGGGGCGTCGTCCGACCACCGCTACCGCAGTCATCACCACCACTGGCATCATCCCCTCCCTCTCCCTCCTCTTCTGCAGACACCGTCCCTTCGAGTACACCGCCGCCGCTAGCCTCAATCCCCTTTCCCGCAACCAGTCGACGATGCCCCTCCTCTGCCTCGATCCCGGTGTCCTTCGCCCTCTTCTGGGCGGCGGATCGCCAGTCCGCGTGCAGCTTGAGGATCTGCGCTCTGTTCGTGAGAATGTGCTGGGTGAGGCGTGGCATCGGCGGGCACCTCCGTCGGCTATGGAAGGGCGATAGCGGTAGGGACGGCGACGGCGGCGACATTGGCAGTGGCGGTGCTGGTTCCGGGGCCGGGGCTCCTCGCAGCAAGCGCAAGACCGCAGAGGAGAAGCTCGGCCCTGACACGCCTTGGTCTGGCGCTGGTGTGGTGTGCGCATCAAAAGTGGAACACGAGCGCAAAAAAAGATGACGGAAAGGGTTGGGAGGGCCAGGTGCAGGGGAAGTAGCGTCAACAGCAAGCAGCAGCACAACTAACGTGTCTGTAGAACATGGTCAATGAGGGAGATGCACCAGCTTCTTGCATCATTGCTGCCGTCGCTTCGAGAACACCGGATGACGGATGCCTTGCCCAACATGATCGTTCGACCCGACTCGACGGTGCGGCATGACTTCAGCGAGTGTCGTGATAAAATGAAACGAGGAAGCACCGCTATGCCGCCAGTAGCGGCCGCACCGCCAACATCACCACAAGCGGTGGCGGCGGCGTCAGCGGCATATAGCACAAAACCGACGCCTACCATCACGGTACGCTCAGCTCCTACCAACGGCGAGAGGCGCCGTGTCGTCCCACCCACCGTCAGTATTCCTCCGGTCCCACGAGGGCAAGAGGCGGGACGCGGCGTCTTTGATCCCGACACGAAGGGCACCCCTCCCGTCACCGGCGGCGGCGGGGAAGGCGGGGATGGTCACCTGCACAGGGTGTGGATGTTGGGCGGCGAGTTGGAATGTTATTGCCGCTGCTGCTGCCGCTCTGTTGTTGGAGAAATTGCTGCCAGGTACTCTTCGTGGTCGTCCTTGGTGCTGCTAAGGTGCTAGCACGTGTTGCGGTCCTTGTTGATGGTGATGATGGTGGTGGTAGAAATGACGCTGTGATCTTCACTCTTTCATCAAAAGTAATGTGTGGTTGTTTTGCTGCAAATGGCAAATACATGCGTATCGTTGTCCGCGCCGAAGCCGCAGCAAATTATCTCTAAATAATCACGTTGTTCTCCCACACAGCCTATTGGCAGTCCCACACTTTGATCGGGTTTCGACGCTTGATACCCCCGTAGCAAGGAGGCGCGACTTGCCCAAACGCCTCGGGTGAACCTAAACCATCGTAAATCACAAATCACGCTCCCCTGGGACGAAGCCCGCTTCCTCGACAATGCGCGTACTTCCAAATACTAGCAAACAGAATCGCGGGAAGAAAGACGCTCCTTGAACATTCCCACCCCGTTACAAATCGTCAAATCACGGATAACTGCCCACACGATGTCGTTCGTTTTCAGTTTGTCTGCATGGACAACCCGACTATCAAGCAGCGCGAAGCAGTCTCGTCGTCCACTGGAGGACTTGAACCGAAAACGTCGTTTTGCAACGATTTGGCGCATGTCATCGCGCAAAAAACAGACGGAAGGACATCAAGATAAGAAAAAAGAAAATCCATCAACATGTCCCACCGTGGAGCGGAGATCTTTCGGCGGGAAAGTGCGGGTGCACTTTCGACTCTGCCGTCGGCAGCAGCGAGCGCAAGGGTCCTCTCCGTCGCAATCCTTCCTCTTGAGCACGCATGTATTACAGCTCCACCGGAGGTTTCCGGTCGTCTGTGCCATAGGATATCATCATGAATTTGAANTCCTCTCCGTCGCAATCCTTCCTCTTGAGCACGCATGTATTACAGCTCCACCGGAGGTTTCCGGTCGTCTGTGCCATAGGATATCATCATGAATTTGAAAAGAGGGAGGAGAGGAGGCAAGAGGGAGAGAGGGGGGGGGGATAAGGGGAGACAGCGAGAGAGGAGGGAGGCAGAGAGAGAGAGAAAGAAAGGGACAAAAATAAAGGGAGGAGAGAGAAAGCGAGACACAGAGAGAGAGAGACAGACAGCGAGAGCGAGAGAGAGAGAAGCGACGGTATGGTTCTCAACCCTGCCTTCAATGTGCGCGCGTCGACTTTATCGTTTCCTCGGCCACGCGAATCCCAATATTCCAAAGCCCTCCCTTCAAACAAAAGCCGGGGTAATCCAGAAAACCCATTCCGACATCCGGACAAAGCGATTTGACTCCACGCCCGCACATGTGCGTCGTGTACGTGAACACCCCCTCACCTCGTCCTTGAAGCGCGCGCAAAACACGAACGGGTCCCGCCTGGTGGAACCACCACCCCCACCCCCGCCCTCCCCGCGGCCACCAGCACAAGCAACAGGTACGGCGCCCTCGCGGCCCTCCCCGACGACACTCGTGCCGCCCTTCGGAGCCCCGTTACCCCCGCCTCTCCCAACGGTGCTGCCTCGACACGGCTCATCCACCCCGCCGTCAGACCACGCGCGCCAGAGTCCACCGCAGTCGAGGTCGCCGGGCCGCCGCAGTTTTTGCACCCACGAAAGGAACGCCGGAGTCCGAAGAAACTCCCGCAACCGGCACGTCAGGGCTCCCGATCCCGGTGTAGGCCCAACCGCGAGCTCCGACTCCTCCATCCGGATGTTACTGTCGCCCTCGTCGTCGCCGCCGCCGTTAGCGCGACTGCCGGCGTTACCGCCGTCACCCCCTCGTCGTGCCCCATCGCCGCCTTCCGTCCGCTGCCGCCGTGGTTGCTCGTCCGCGGACGCTGCGTCTTCTCCCGTGCGTCGTCGCGAACTCGCGCTGGTCTGATCTTCGCCGTCTACGGGACCTTCTTCCAGATCTTCCGCGGCCGCTCCAGCCGCGGTTTCCGCCGCAGCCATGGCCAGGGGCAAACCTTTCCTCTTCTTCGACCCCGCCCCGCCCACCTCCACCTTCACGTCTTCTTCTTCCTCCTCCTCCTCCATCGCGTCCGGCGTCGCTCGCTTCTTGCCCTTGCCTTTGCTTACCAACGAAAAATCTCCATCGCTCTCTTCCCCATCGTCGTCCTCTTCTGAACCCCGCCCGCGTCCTCTTGCCTCCGAACCCGCGTTCTGCGAACGGGTCTCTCCACCCCGGTCTTCCATGGCACCCGCTTCCTCCTCCTGTCGCGCGCCACCCTCTGCGCCGCCTCCGTCGCCGCCACCTTCCCACCATGGCACATCGAACTCCTCTTCCACCACCGAAGTGACCACGCCACTCTCCGGTTGTTCCCCCCCCGGCGGGGCCCGCGTGGTCACCGACCCACCGGGAGGCGTGGCCTTCCGCAACCCGTACAAGCGAGCGTACTCGACACGTGCGACTGAGAATATGCGCTCCTTCACCAGGCGGACGGCGTCCGGTATCAGGCCGGCCAAGAGGTGGCGGCAGTGGTAGCCCTGCCCGAATGCGCCAGAGGAGGCGCCGGTATCCGACAGGACCAAGGTCACGCGCTCTTCGCCCTCCCGCCGGGCGTTTCTCCCGCCTGCACCAACTTCGACACTGTCTTCTTCGCCAACAACATCACCAACACCACCGACATCAACATCAGCACCAACACCAACACCGTAAACAACGCCAACCCGGCGAGCCACGTGTTGGCCGTCTTTTCTTCGGCTACCCGGAAAGCCAGTCGAGGCGGCCACGGAAACCGGGCCGTCGCTCTCGAGCCTCGAGCGGCGGCGGCGAACCATGGACGCGGTCCCGGGGGGAAGACACAAGAGCCGTAGGGGGTCAACGTCCTCGTCGGGGGGCCCGGTTCCCCTCCCGGCGACACCAGCGGCGGCGTCGCCGAGAGCACGGTCGGTACCGGCGTTATCGCCGTCTCGCCCGACCGCTGCCATGTCGACGCCATCCCCCCCATTGTCAGCCACCCGGTCGCCGCTGCTGCCGGTGGCGGTGTTACCGCTGTTGATGCTAGCGCTGACTCTGGCGTCGCTATTCCTGCTGCCTGGTAGGGTCGCTCCTTGCGGCGACAGCGAGAGCTCTGCGGAAACTGCCTTGGGTACA